TCTCTCTCTCTCTCTCCACCTCCGTATGAAAGTAAACCCATTTAATTATTTAGGTCTACGTAGGCCTATGTGGCATGTGCCAATTCGTAAATAATTGGTCTGCTAACCTTCCCCCTTTGGACATTCCCTTCCTCTCCCCTTCCTAAGATATCTCTTGTTCCTCTTATTTGTCTTCCCCCATCCCCTCTCCTTCTCTCTCTCTCTCTTTCTCCCCTGTCCCTGTGTGTCTGTCTCCCTCCCCCCTCCCATTCTCTCTCTCTCTCTCTACTAACGAACACATATACACTCAAATATTAATTGCAATACACACAAACACACACACACACACACACACACACACACACACACACACACACACACACACACACACACATCATTGTCATCATACACACACAAACACAATGAATTTAACTCCACACTCCATCTGGCAGACAAACTGATAAACAGTTGTCAAGCAGGCTGGAAGACAGACAGGTAGACAGACCTGACAGATAGCTAGAGAAAAAAATCTAAGAGCATGCATTGAAAATTTAAAAAAGTACGCATATCAAAAGAGTCATGTCGTTTGATGCAGTCTCATGAACTATAACCCTAACCTTACGCAAACTAGGCCCTATGACCTGCCGCCGTCCATTATCGATTGACCCTTACCTGACCCAGTGGCCTACGCACATGCGCACTGACCCGACAGGCGAGAGACGAAAAATGACTGACCACTAGGGAAGCGCGCTGCCCGCTGCGAAAGCGTCAGAATGATCGAGGCGCTGCCTCTGTGTATTGGGCATGTGGTCGCCCTACAGCACCCGATTAGATTTAGCATCTCAGTCGAATGAAAAGAAGAATGCAAGACTTAATTTGCATATTTATTTTAAAGTATAAAGATTGGTCAACTGAAGAAGGGCGAAAATGTGAACAATTGCTACAATTTTGAGGACCCTGTGCTGGCTTAAATATAAAGACTATTACTATTAAAGAACCAATCATGTTATGAAACAGTGCCCATCACACCCACTGCTCGTATTTACGGGGTCAACGTGTGAGAAGGCTCTGTCTTACAAGTAGGGATAAATATTTCATGGATTGAATTCTTAAAGAGGGAAGACAATGATTCTCACAATCGCAAATGCTAGGAGAGAAGAAGAAAGGGAGGGGG